GAGGGAATTGCCCATTATGAGCTAAGCGGAGAGATGAATACTGAGCTTTTCAATCTACAATTAACAAGCCTTTTAAAAATTGATCAATAGAAGAGGTGCGGTGCCTCATCATTACCACGTTACGAATCACAGATATCCTTGATGACCCTAAATTGACGCGAGCTTGGTTGAGAGGTTTAGTTACACTCACCAGACTTGGGACCAATTGCCTACCTTTTTGCTTCAGTCTCATAAAAATTGTCTTGATGGTGAATCACACCAAGTTCTACACTGAGTGAATTATAAAGCCACCCGAAAAATTTCAAAAAAAATCCTAGGCTATAAGAAGTATTTGATTAAAATTAATTTTCCAAAAAAAAAAAAACTTTAAAAAGAAGACGGAAAATTTGTTATAAGATATTGTAGATATATCTTCTTCGAATCAATATTAGCGCGTCATTCCTCTCTTCTTTTCGCTGTCTGGCGTCAGTTGGAAATATCAAGTGAAGCCAGGCCACTCTTATAAAAGATTGTACCTTCCCTATTCAGCTCTGCAGCTCTTATTACTTCCTCCAGCAATGAGTCAAAAAAGTCACACGATAAAGAGTCACCTTGTCAAACCACGTTTGGTATCGAACGGCTCGGAGAGGTTCTTTCCGATTCTGACGGAGCTTTTAGTGCTGCTCAAGGTCGGTTTACATAGCCGTATAAGCTTTGTAGGGATACCAAATTTGGACATAGGCTATTTTAAAATCAACTAAGAGTTGGTGTGTGTCGAGTAATTTTCATGCTTGCATGCTTTCTTTCGACCATATTCTGTAAAGTCAGCTCCAGCCGCTTTGTTGTTTTTTTAAGCGGGCGATTTCTATTCGAACTTCTTCGTTGTCGGTTAACGAAACAACTTTTCGATCATCGTCATCAATTGGAGTTTTGCGTTCACCATCTCCGGGTGTATCATTCTCAGTGAAGTTTAGCAGACTGGGGAAGTGGTCCCTATATAAATTCTATATACTATGGGCATAGGCGGCTAGATCACCCTTCTGGGTCCTACAAGTGTTTGTTTCGGTCTTGAAACCTTCCGTAAGTCGCTGTATCTTTTCGCAGAATTTTCGAGCATTACCCTTGCCGGCCAGTTTTTCAAGCTTCTCCTACTGTGATCGATGACAAAAGACACGGCAATCCTCATCGTACCAGCAGTTTTTGCGATCTTTGCGGAGTCCAATAGTTTCATTTGCAGCTGTACATCGGGAGTTCGAAATGCCGTCGCATAGTTCCCTTATACCGAGTTGGTGTGCTCCGAGATGAGTGCTCTCAGAGAGCAGGTGTGCAAGTCGAGTAGAAAACCGCTCGGGCGTTCTTCGATACACAGCGGCGCATGTGTATAGTCATCCGAGTCCGAGTCGAGATATCCAATTACTTATCCCCCCAAAAAAATATTCTAAACACCAGATGTAGGTACAGAATCGTACGATTTCAACTCCACCACAATAAACTTATTCAGATTGTTTGTAAAAATAAACTATTGTATGTATGTATGTACGAGTGCAAGAATTTATTTATTTCTTAAACAAATATATGTTTATTTAGCAGCCTTTAACATTTAAATACAATTATTTACCAAAACTTAATTTATGTATTTTTTCGCTTCCAAATGTTTGCCCTTAGCACTGTGTTCTATTTAAAAAAAGAATCACACATACATACATACATACATACAAACATATATACAATACATAAACGCCTTAATACTTCAGTTCCAAATCTTTTTTCTTGCATTTTTATAACTTCGTGCTAGCACGTGCTTATACATATGTATGTATGTATGCATAGTAAAAAAAATCAGAAAACTTTTTGTTTTGTAATTATATTTGTCTGTATGTTGCTGCATATTTACACAAATCGAAAAAAATTATGTAACCTAAAGTCAGTTACGTTCGCTACTTAAAAGTAATGTTTGAACAAGAAAAAACAGTAAAAAAATAATAACAACACTAACCACAAAGCAAATAAATCAGCTGTGATTGAGGTGTCAGGCGGTGAGTAAAACAACATAACCCAATAAAAACAGTGAGAATAAAGGCAATTAAATATAATCTCACACTCAATGACCAGCGGCGTATTTGATTTGATGAAGGAAAAAAAAATAAAAAAAATAATTTTTTTATATTTTTTATTACTTATCTTCTGTAATTTTTTATAAAATTGTTTAATTTTTAATTCATTCCAATATTTTGCAATTTTTTTTTTTTAATTTCTTATTTGTTTACATCTATTCACGCTTATTTTTTTGTTGGCCTACAATTTGCTTTAGGTTACCAACAGTTGCTAACTTAAAAAAATTCTGTTGCCTGAAAAAGTGTTGCTGTTGCTGTTTAAAAAACAAAAACACTGTTGTTGTATTGACAATTCAAGGTGTGTAAATTTGAATACTTACACACACACAACTAAAAATAAATAAAATTAAACAGCACGCGCCAATAGTAGACTCGCCTGTATGAAGTGCATAAATAAGTGAATGAATGAATGAATGAATGAATGAATGATTGTCTAGTAGCAATGAGTGGTGGCTTGAGCCATTAGTCAAGCAGCACGAATGACAAGCTCGGAGTTGGAGCTGCGAATATGTATGTTTGTAGGCATTTACAAACTGTAGTTTTAAATTTTCGTAACTTCTTGTAAACTACTGCCTGTATGTACATACATATATATACATTTATAAATGTTAACATGTTTAGTACGTATTAACCGTACAGTCCATTTGTTGTTATTTTGCATGCATTTAATAGAATATTTGTTTTCCTACTACTTCGTTGTTGCAGCTTTTGGTATAGTTATTTGTTTGGTATTTACTCAACAACTCAATTGGATATTGCAATTTAATAGTTTTGTACTCTTTTCACTCTTTGCACTTTGCACACTGTGTTGTAATAAAGTCATAGTTTACCGGCAATTAATTGTAGAGAAGGTAACTAAATTGCATAAAAATAAACATTAGTTTCCCAATGAAAATAATAATAATAATAATAATATAAAATAAAATTAAAATCTATATAATATATATAATATAAAAAAAATGAAAAAAATACTCAATTTAAAAAAATAGCACAAATAAGAAATAATTTAAAAATAACAAAAAAAAAAATTGAAAATAAAAACAATTAAAAGAAAATAAGACTTAAGATATTTAAAATCTTAAATAAAAAAAATTGAATATCTAAAAGAACATATAAAATGAAAAAATAATCAATTTAAAAAATATTACATATAAAAACAAATACAAAATTTCGAAAATTTCATAGAAATTAAATAAATGCCAATTTAAAAAATATATCACAAAACTTAAATATATATTAAGAGAAAACAATTAAAATAAATTAAACATATCAACAAAAATTAAAAAAATAAATAAAATCCATTAAAAAATAAAAAAAAAACATAAAATTAAATAAAAAATATTATATAATAAAAAATATAAATATAAGATATGAAATAAGAAATGTAAAATTTAAATATAAAATACAAAATATAAAATATAAAATATAAAATATAAAATATAAAATATAAAATATAAAATATAAAATATAAAATATAAAATATAAAATATAAAATAAAAAATACAAAATATAAAATATAAAATATAAAATATAAAATATAAAATATAAAATATAAAATATAAAATATAAAATATAAAATATAAAATATAAAAAATAAAAATTTAATTAAATGAAAGATAAAAAAATTAAAATTATAAATAAAAATAAAAAATTTGAAACATAAGAAATAAAAAACCAAATAGTAAGGGAAAAAATAATCCTTTGAAAATTGCAAGCAAAGGATAAAAAAATAACAAAAAATATTAAAAATTAAAAATAAAAAAGACAAGATATAAAAATATACAAAAAAATAAAATTTAAAACAAAGTAGAAAATAAAAACAATAATATAATTGCAAAATTTCCAAAATAAATAAAATAAAATGTAAATGCTAAATACTAGGAAAAATGTTGAGAATAAACAACATAACATAAAAGAAAAAATAAACACGATAAAAGCTCAAAAAAAAATTAAAAATAAAAAAAACTTAAGAGAACATAAAAATACAAAAAATATTCTGAAATGCAATAAACCAAAATAGTAAATATAAAATCTAATTGCACAATTTGGAGAAATAGTAAATTAAGATATAGATATAAATTAAGAATTACAAAATGAAAACAAATTTAAATAAAAAATGATTTAAAAAGAAATATTTCGTCACGTATGTCAAATATGGCTAGTTTTGAAATAAATAATTTGCTATTGGGTGTGCTAATGTTTTTTATGTATGCTTGGAGATACATATAAATATTTGCATCTGTATGTATGTGCGCATTATTAATTTTTTCAAACTGAGCGTAGGTAATTTAGTTACTCATACACCCGCGCATAGTTTTTAATATTTTTTTTTTTTTTTTTTGTAAGGCAAATTATCTTTAGACCCTTTGCTAAATAATTCAATCTAAGCTTTTATTCAATTAGAAAAGGTGTGGTAGTTTTTATAGGTGCACGCCATACAAACACATGCTTAAATAATGTTTTCAAGATGCATGTACATATACAGACATAATTCTCCCTATAATAGTTTTTCCAATAAGCCTATGCATAGTAGTTGCAGCTTGTTCGAAACCGTAGGAGTGGTCAATAATATTTTGCGAAAAGTTTTCGAAAATCCCGAAATTACTTGACTTATTTGGCTTGACTTGTTTTTGAAATCCTTAAAAAGATCCTCCAAGAGCGCCAGCACAAAACAAGGACGAGTGGATTAGTGGGAAAAAAAGCAGCCAAAAACAAAGCTACTCTACACACTAAATCTTGCACATCTCAGTTAATGAAGAGTTTTCAAGTAGGGTTGCATTGGGTCGATTTTCGTCAAATATTATTCCCTATTATTTATTAGACGTCCTCTCAGCCACTTTTTACACCGTAAAAATATGACAATTTAAAAATTCTTTAAAAAGAAACTTCACCCAGATAAGTACTCACCGCATAAAGGACATCCCATATCAAGGCATATATTTTCAAAGTTTTCGTTGAGCACGCCATAATGATTACTTTTTATTTATTCACTAAACACTAAAAAAAAAAACAAAAAAAAAATTTAAAAATTATTTAAAAAATACACAAACTGTATTTAACAAATTTTTTTTTAAGAATTATTCGCACATATTTATACACCGCTCGCTTGGAAAAACCGTCACATCAAGCAAAGTTGGCGAAAGTAAATACCGAAGGGAAGCGAAAATTTGAAAACACACAAATAGAAATGACAAAATCGTGTGAAAAACACTTTCATTTTGGCGTATTTTTAAATACTACATATACATATGTATGTGTGTGCTTATTTTAGTATATATTCGTATGCTTTCTGGTCTGTCCAACGAAATTCACCAAATTTACAATTACACCAGATTTCCAAGAGAAAAACCAAAAAATTTGGCAGAAACAAAATTAGAATACACATAAATTTGCATTGCACTTTTGCTACGAATAGAACGCACTAAGCGTCATTTCAATACGTTTTCCACCCATGTCTCCACCCCCACCCAACGCTCACTCAAACACCAGAAAATATACTAAAAAAAATAAAAAAAAAAAAATAAATCAAAAAAAAAGAAAATACGATAAAATTTTGAATTGCGCGCAAAATTCGTTACACTTTGAGATTTTTCGAGTTTTTGAATATTCTTTGCCAGCCGTTATTACCGTCAAATGCTTGCGTAGCGAAAACCATCAACGGCGCCAAACGCGAATAGACTGAACCTGCCTACACCTCCAACTCAGCTATTTTGCCGCCATCACCACTGCGAATATTTACTTTTGCCTTTTCGATTTAGATTAAGATTTTTTGTTTGTGATTTTGTTTCTTTGATTACTTGTCGAGTGTCTTGCCTCAATACGATTTGTGTTTGCAATTTTTTAGCGTGTTTCTTTGTCAACTTGCCCAGACTTGCCGTTCTAAGGAACGTTGGAGAGTACGAGTTCGGAATGGCGACAGTGACAGTGAGCCGAGAGAATTTAGTAAGAAATGATTTGGAAATGAAATGAGGCATAGTCTATTAACGGTTTCACATTGGTAGCAAGTGGCCCGGCAGGAAAAATTATGCTTAGAAAAAATGTAGATCTAGGAAAGCCGAAGTGCAAAGCTGAATGCGAGCAAAAATCTTTGTAACTGAAAATCAATACAAAATCGCGCCGATCTAGATAGCAGAGTGGAAGCCGCCCAATGAGAGAATAATAGTCTCGAGCGGTTTTTCAAAGCTGCCAAGACGGGCTAGTTGCTAGTTTGCACTGATAGGACCTCACCTTGGATTACTGCGTAACGTGTGACTTCTTTAATTTATTGCTGGAGATAATTATAAAAGCTGCAGAGCTCAATAGAGAGGACGCTATGTTCTGCTGATAGTCAACAAGAACAAAACTAAATATCTCATTTCATCGAACTCAGCATCCACGTCACTGTTGACAATCATTGTTTCCAACTCGTGGATAATTTTGTTTATCTTGGAATCCGTTCTAACACCAACGAAAAGGTCAGCGTAGTAACTCTCTTGCCAACAAATTCTAGTTGGACTGAGTAAACAAAGACCAAACTCTACAAGACGCTCATAGCCTGTATGTTACCTCTCTGCTATGTAATGCGGAGTCATGCTTCTCGCAAAAGAATTTTAATAAATTTTAAAACTATTTTGTGCTGTTAAAATCGACAAAGGTTAGATTACGATGGCTACCGATCTAACAGGCGGGTTTCACTTGAGCCTGACTTAGATCCATTGTGATACCTCTGAAGCTTAGACCATCAGGCTTCATTCTCCATCTACCTTGATTCTGTAAAGAACCCCATTGGATATATAACTTTGACGTCAGGTATCTTCGATAGACCCATCCAGCAATAGGGTCGCAAAATTACGAAACCTCGCCATGCTTAATGCAGAACAGTCGCATAAGAAATGGGTAATCGTTTCCTTCTCTTCATTCTCCTTGCAGCTTCTGCAGCATATTCTGTAGGGAGTGCCTAGTGTTCTTGAGAGACGCCCTATCAGACAGTGGCCTGCCCTATAACTCCTATAACTTTGGACATGTCGCCTCTTTTTAAGGAGTACATAACTCGGGATCTCTTCTTATCCCATTTTGGTCTTGTGTACCTGATTTTGCGGCGAGTTGTGATGTCTATCCACCTTGTAGTGGCTTGTTCAATCTTGAGGAGCAGTTTGCATATAGCAAAAAGCACACCAATGCGTTCTTTATCGGGAAGAATCTGCTTGGTCGTGCCTTGACTAGCAAGTTCATCCACATTACAGTTTCCCTCGATATCCCTATGACCAGGGACCCGTATGAGAGACAGTCTGTTCTGTTTTGCCATCACTTATGGAGATTGAAGTTTAGCGTAAGCGAGCCTAATGGTTTTAATGCTGCTTGACTATCGCCTTTAAAGCTGGCTCTAATTTGCTTAGCAGCCTCCATGATAGCAGATCTGTAAAACACTGCAATAGTCAAGTAGCCTAAACGATAGTTCCATCGGAGGGTTTTCTGAGAAGACACCTCCGCCAACTCTCCCCTCAAGCTTTGACCCGTCCGATGGAATTATAAAATCGACTAAAAACAAAATGAATTAATCAGCATTAACCAAAGAATTAAGCCGCTCACCCCAGAAACCGGAAACAATTTCAGTGAGGAGTCTCTATTGTTTATTTAGTAACGAGTTTCCTACGGAGCACAACGAAGTCAATAAGTCCGCTTAGGTGAGTGAGTAAATTGTTTATATTGCCACGAAACAAACTGAAATGAAACGTTAATAAATCGCGTGTTGGTATGTGTGTGTATGTATGTGTGTCAGAGCAGAGATAGAAAAATATTTACTCAATCATTTGTTATCGCTACGCACGTGGAGCGCAGACCTTATCGGATAGCAAAACAAATATTAAATTGGCGCAGCGGAGTGCTGCTGAGAGCAACACAAACTGTGTCTGTGTGCGAGTTTTGTTTTTCAAATATAAATAACTGAAACATACTTTTAGGCAGAGAACGAAGGCGAAATATCAACGCGATTTAAGGCACAGATTTAATAAATTTAATACTAAAATAAATAAAAAATAATGATAATAATAATTTAATTCCGATTAACATTTTATTTTGTCTTTTAAAATGTGCAAGAAAACAAATTTGAGTTCGAAAATCACAGAAAAATAAAATATATTATTACCGAGTTCATCTTTTCGCTGTTTCGCGCCAATTATAAATATGTAACCAGTACAGCCAGTATCTTCTTCACTTGACCTTTTCAACGGAATTAACGGAAGTTTTCTTTTTGCTCTGCTTCCACATTCGCAATAAGAAGTCACCCTACCTGAAACTTCGTCGAAAGGCTCAGGGAGTGTTTTCCGTATCCTAGCGGATGTTTGGCGCTGCTTCACGTCGGCATACACAGCCGTATAAGTTTTGTGGGAATATCAAATTCAGACTTATTGGGGAGCCACCTCCCTTTCTTGCTGCCGAAGATAACTTTCTAATCGGCGAAGACGTGGTGTGTGTCGATCGTCTATTCACGTCACGGAGTTTTTCGATTCTCATTCTGTTTATTATCTTTCTATTTTATAACTTGTGTAAAAAATTTTTGAAAATTTCATTTCAAACACGTGTATATCAATTGGAATTTTTGCTTCAACGGATTCTGTTGAATTCGAGTAAAGCAATTGGAATCAGTTGTAAGTCCATTACCAATGTGGGAGCTCACTAAGTTCGAAGCCAAGTAGCGAAGAGCTGGAATCTATGCTGTACCACAGACAAACTAATTTCGGACACCGACGAAGTCGATCAGCCTCAATCCATTCGGTAATGTTTCGTCGTGAAGGCTGAATTTTCCAACAATTATGTCCGAGGATACCTGCTTTGCTCACCCTGGCGTTAATTTTGACATCGTGAGTACGCTGAAGACGTTCTAACCAGACATTCTTGATCGCAATGATGGGTTGAAAATTTTTCCCTTGAGGCATCGTGAGTACGCTGAAGACGTTCTAACCAGACATTCTTGATCACAATGATGGGTTGAAAAATTTTCCCTTGAGGCAGGTTGTGGCGATACGTTCATCTTCCGCTGCGAATGCCAGTACCCGGCGACCGAGTCGCTTATCACCCACGAATGTGACACTAAATATGGGCCCAAGGAAAGAATTCGCAAGATGTTAGATCAAAAGGTCTTGATGGCCAATTGCAATGACCTTTCCCTTAAAATATCGATGGTTTCGCTGATTGTGTGGCCCGTAACGCCGTCTTGTTGAAAGTAAACGTTGTCCAGCACATAAAAAATCATTTCATTAAAGTATATTCCAGTGACCCCGGCGGGCCAAAAACCGCACCAAACAGTAACAAACAGGATGGCGTGGTTTTTCAACAATAAACCTTGGGTTTTCCGAGGCCCAGATGAGACAGTTTTGCTTATTGACGTAACCATCTAGGTGAAAATGGTCCTCATCAAGCAAGATGATTTTTCAAAGAAATTCCAGATAATTATCATACATTTCAAGAACCCAATCAAGAAAAACACGACCTTATTGATGATCGGCCGGCTTGAGTTCTTGTGTTAACTGAACTTTATAAGCTCTAAGATCCAAGTCTTTATGCCAGAAACGGTGTAATGACGTTTGTGGAATGACCAATTTCAAAGTACGACGGTTCTCAGTTGTTCTTGAGCGACGTGCACGTGTATTTTTCTGCACATCATTAACTTGGCCCAACAGCTCCATTTTTTCTATTTCAATTTATGTATTGCGGTCCGACAAAGTGCTTCGCGACGACCGTAAAATGAATTAGATTTTCGAACCGACTCTGCCAGGTTTCCACCATTTTTATAGCGAATTTCAAAAATTTCAATGCGATGTTGAAGCGTGTTTCGTTCCATTTTTATTACTGACTTAGTTTTTATTTGTCAAATGTCCAAAGATTACAGGTTCGAAGTGACGTCTACCAGGCTATACAAAATAACACCTCTTATTTGAAACTCCTTTACGTTCCACAAACTTAACTTGGCCACCAGAGAGGGTTTGTACTACGGAGCTAGGTTATTTTATTTCTCTTTAATTTCTTTAAAATATAAGGGAAAAATGAAAATTAATTTATTGTAAAAAAAAAATACAACAAAAACATGCGCATTATAGAAACGGCTTTAAAATGGTACACAGCAAACAAAGTTTTATTTTTAATTTTTAATAATAATTTTTTATTTAAATTACTTTGCATCTTCGCGCATATTAATACTATATTTAGTAAATACACACATTTTGTGCAAGTTATACATTTACATATATATCTCCTCTGTATGCGCTGGCATTTAACAAAATTCTACCAACAATTCGGTTATGTTAATTTTATTACTTTATTCTTCTGTTTTTCAATATTTCGTAGTAGTATTTAATAGTAGTAGATTTGTAAAGTGGCGTACAAGTACATAAATGCTTGTATATCTTATGTAGGCATGTGTGTATGTAAATAAGCGCAGTTATATTATTTTTTAGGCCTTCATTTGTTTGATTATCCGTTTGAAGCTTAGTAAAGCTTTGTATAGTATTTTTAACTAGTAATTTTTTTTATTTCATATTGTTTTTAACAAATTTTTTCTCTGTAAAAAAAAAATTTTGTAAATAAATATCAGCACATGTTTTTAAATGATTTTTTTATCTTTGTATTTGTAGTTATTCTTTCAGCTTTTTAAAAGTCTGTCATGCGCACTGAGCTCGGTGGCATAGTTTAAATGCATTTAATTTTTTAATTTAATTTTTTTGCTTTTATTTTGGGAAAAAATATTTTTAACAATCACATTTTTAATAGTATGTATTTGTTGAACTTTTTTTTAACATACATATATTTATATATATATAATATTTTTACAATTCAATAACATTTATTTATTTGTTGAAACTTTTGTAAAACATTGTTTAATTTATTTTTCTTTATAATAACATAAACTCATATATATATATACATATATATTATATGTTATATATGGTGCACTTTATATGTGTACATTAATGTATAATTATTAATGACTCGTTACGGATTTTTCGATTTTTTTAAAAATAAAAAATAAAATTTTAATTATATAAAAATAGAAATACCAATAGAAAAGCAACAAAGTCAACAGAGCTCGTTTAAAGAATTCCGTTAAAATATTAACTATCAGGTTGGAAAAAAATGCACGTAATTCATAGTAGCACAGTGGGGAAGTTGTAGCCAATTATTATTAAAAAATAAAAAAATAAAAAATACTTAAATTTTTTAGGTTATGATATGAATTATTGTGATGGCTAAAAAATGTACAATAAATACATATTATAATATGCTAACGCTTTTCCGCCAAAAATTCATGCTTTTCAGCCTTATATTCATTATATTATATATTTTTTCGGCTTTATATTCAATGTCTCAGCTTTAAATTCATTTCTTTAGTAAAAAGTGAAATCCAAAATATTGTTCTCATTTAAATATAATGTTTGAAAATTATTTTGTTAATTATAAATGTTTCAAATTCAATTTATTAATTTTAAATAATTTAAACATTTTATTTATAATAGTAACTAAACAAAATAGATTCATTAAAAGGTGTGCGCTTTTAATTTTTATAGAAGTAGAGTGAAAAAATAATAATAATAATACGGAAATGTACTATTTTACAATTATTACTTTTACTAGTTTTAGCTGCCAAATATTTTTCATTTACATGAGTATTATTGCAGAGCAATTAATAATTTAAAAACAAAAGAGATTAAGTGAAACTTTTTATATTATTTAAATTTAAATTATAAATAAATAAGCTTTAAGAATAAATAATAAAGTTGAAATAAAAAATAATAATATATAAAATAGGTCAACAAAATTTAGCCGGAATTACAATGAATGAAATAATTGAACAAAAATTTCTTATATCAATTAAATATTTTTTATAATTTTTTTTAAAACTTCACTGTGCGACGTATAATGAATATTCTTGATAAGCTCTATTTCAACTATTGTTTATTTATTCGCAGCTGCGGTCGTAGTTAAGCATTGCGTATTGTGAGTCGGCAGCCCAGAAAAATAGTGAATATTAACAAAAAATTAAAAAGAAGTTAAATTTTCTAAACGCGGTTGTCACTCGGCAGAGAACAACAAGCCCTCCGAGTGTATTTATGACATGAAAAACAAAAGCTCCTCATAAACTGTAGGTCTCTCCAAACGTTGGGGGAAGAACATCAAGCTACAAGGCACAAATTTACCAACGAGCTCGGCCGAAAGTCACTTGAGTGGTTTTTTTTCATGGTACGAATTAATTGTTTATAATTTTTTTTTTTATTTATTTTTTTTTTTGCAAAATTCATGTTCTCAAATATTTTAATTTTTAATTAATTTTCAAGTTTTCTTCTATTTTTTGTACTAATATTTCGGAAAATATATGAAAATAGTCAAAGCATGAAAAAATAAATTATTATATTATATATAATTATAAATTGTTTATAAATTATTTTCGAAACAATTTAAATTATTTCTTTTTTAATTTTAGGAAATTCAAAAAGCTTAAAGCCAACTAGAATTCTCTCTTTACAAATCTTTTCGTTCTCAATAGTTTAGTGCTATTTTTTTTAACTTATAAACTAGCCTTAATAACTAATATAAATTATATTAAAATTACTTGTTGGCAACTTTTTTGATTACTGCGAAACGGAAAACATTTTTCATATCAAAAATTGAAATTTAACTCAACCTAATTGAGCTGTTTGTTCATATGTATGTATGTATGTATGTATGTACATATATACTGGGCTGAAAAATCCATTAGGCGCTACAATTTAAAAAAGAAAACCCTCAACAAAACACACGCACATCACAAGCCGTGGGAAAAGCTCCGCCATAAATCGCTTAAACGTTTATAAAGCGCCAATTAGATGTTAGTTTAGCCATACTGGAGCTTAATTACAGACATTTGTTTTTGTTTTTTATATGTTTTTTTTTCTTTTTGTATTTCTCTACCAACACACTTTATCTGCAGTGCAATTGTTTTTTGTGTGTGTGTGTTTTTTTTTTCTTTCTTTTTTTGAATTTGGAAATCGCACAATTAAATTAATAACGCGAGCGCCTATGATCATTGCGTATACTGTTGCATAGACAACACGAAATCATGCTGCCAATTAGCTGGAAAATATAGAGAAAAACATACATGTATTTAAAATTATAAAAATATAAAAAATTAAAAGAAATTATAAATTAACATTAAAGATCCATATGAGCACATGCTTGTACACCCACACACTCACCTCTAAGGCAATCAACACGCCAGCGATTATATTGAAGACACGCAATAAATTCAGCCAGTAGTTCTCAAACACAATGCGACAACCGGTGCCAATGAGATTTTCACTTTTCGAATTATCGCCATTCTTGAAGCAGGTCAGTGGCGGCATACGATCATTGACTATATAATCGTGTGGGCTGGCGCGGCCACAACAGCCCAACTGGCAGAAGAAAAAAGAAAAAAAAATACAAATTAAAATTAAAATTAAAAATATAAATATAAACATATTCACAATTTGAAAAAATAAATATGCATATTTTAGATCAAGTAAAAAGTTCGTTCGGTTTTTCGGTTTATAGATGGCATTATTGTCCATAATGCCAGTGTTACGTGTCGCATCATGTCATACTGTACGGCGCTAAAAACTCGTTTATTCGCGCTAAAAGTTTGTCTTTGACAGTTTTTCAAAGATGGACGCCAGCAAGAGTTTTTTGCCATTAGGGACGCAGCCTTCTACGAGAGGGGTATAATGAAGTTAGTATCTCGTTGGCAACAAGTTTACGAACGCACAAATGTACACGAAGTTATATTTTGAAAATTCAATAAAAAAAAAACCCCCCGAACGAACTTTTTACTTGACCTAATATGTGTCTGTATACGTAGAATTTTATATGCATTCCTCGAAACACTCATCTCATCAATCATTTAACCTTATCAGTCAAAAAATCAGTGCCGTAAATCATACAAAACAAATACAAAGCCAAAGTATCGCAAAAGTCTGCGCCGTACAAAAGCTTTAATCAATTTATTTTTCATATTTTACATTTCATTTTTTTATTTTTATTTTTTTGTCACTGAATTTGCACAATCTCGTTAGCAGAATTCCCAACAGAAGGCCAGAAGAAAGTAAATGTATAAAAGTCAGACTCTCGTTTAATTGAAATAAGTTTGGATTTAATAAAATCACAATCGCACACCGAGACTTACTGGATTCACTCTGACACACACGGTTTCAGGGACAGACACACATTGTTCGCTATGGGCTATTGTGCACGATCAGCTCAGCGGTGTCAGCTCTGGCGGCTGCAGTAGCCAAGTGGTTGGCATTGTGTACTAACATTCGCATGGTCTGGTTCGGGTCCTGGTTTGAACAACATCCAAAGTTATGGAAAATAAAATTTTCTACTTGCGATCACCCCACGGCAGGGTGTATTTCTTGCATGCAATTGAAGCTAGTTGTTAATTGGACTTTACTTTTCATGTGGTAGGTCCCGTACCCTACGCACAATCGCATGGGATTCACCTTTTCCCACTTTCGCTCGCCTCCAAACGGATGTTTGTTGGCTAACCAGAGAATACATGGTCTAAGAGCGGAAGTCGTAAGCTGCTTGAACCATCTGTTTAAGAATCGTTTCAGGCCACTTTCAAGTGAATGGCAGTCAAAAACTTTCCTCACTTTTACAAATGGTACCATCCGATCCCGCAAAAATTCTACAACTATGTAAACTGACGTCAAGCAGGAGCAAACGAAATATCTGCCGTCATCAAACAAACAGTCATCACATTGCGACTTGGCTCCCACGTCACTGTTGACAGTCATAACTTCGAGGTCGCAGATAATTTCGTTTATCTTAGAACCAGTATTAACACCAACAACAATGTCAGACCGGAAATTTACCACGCACAATTGAAAAGTAAAGTACTCTCTCGACGAACGAAGAGCAAGCTTTACTAAACGCTCATCATAACGCGTCCACAGAAGCGTGGACGATGTCAATATCTGATGAGTCGACTTTGGGAGTCTTCAAGAGAAAAATTTTACGCATGATTTATGAGCCTTTGCGGAAGCCTTTAGAAGGATGAGATCTACGAGTTATACGGCGACATTGATATAGTTCAGCGAACGAGTAGACAGCGGCTGCGCTGTCTAGGCCATCGCATCTGAATGGATGAAAGTACTCCAGCTTGGAAAGAAGCAATAATGGTGGAAGCAGCGCAAGAGGAAGACCTCTACTACTAGTTTCACTTGATATTTCCAACTGGCGCCGAGCAGTGAAAAGAAGGGATTAATGACAATGCCAATAAAGAAGAAGTATTGAAAGCTTCTCATAAAAATTCATCGACTTCTAGACTACACGCAGGATTTTTAAGGAATCATTCACCAGGAGCTGTTCCACTGCGGCTAAACTCGGACCTGCACTGTCAGCGCTGGGGCTGCAGGAAATTCCTGTGCATCCACCTTATAGACCGGACCTCAAACCAAGTGATAACTATATGTTCCAGGGTATGGCGAATGTTTTGGCTGGTGAAGGATAAGCATCAAGTGGAAGCTTGTGAAAATCGATTAGTCCAACTTTTTGGAAATAAGGTACAATGTTTCTATGAGTGAGGCACAATGAGATTCGTTTGAAAATGGCAAAGAGTTAACGAGCAAAACATAGCATATTTGATATAAATCGGATAACTCTAACTGTTATAAATAAAACCTTGAAGCCTTTTTACTACAAAGCAAGATTGTCTTAATGTTCTGAGTTCCAACTTACCCAAGTCTCGTATAGTGACATTGCACCAGGACTACTCAACTCCTCCTCCCAGGCGACATCTAAAACATTCGATAAATGTGAAGCGGCTGTGTCTTCACTTCGCACCAACAGGAAAGTGATAGCGATTTGACCGATAATCACAACCCATAGGAATACAATAAACTGTAAATATTTGAAAATGTAAGGAAATTAGAAACATACATACATACAAAGAATTATAATTATTTTTCAATTTTACTTAAATCAACTCTTCGACACTTACACCAACGGTACAACAGACATTTTCACGCGCTGCGCCAAAAAATCCCAGCAGGAATACAACTAATGTGCCAACACCTATAATTATATAAGAATAGGCAGCCATTGTGCCGACCTCATTGACCCTATAGGAGGCGAGCACATAAACACCGAATGCTATTAATACCAAGGCGAGGAGCTGCAAGTGGAGAGGGAAAAAAATTATATAATAAATATGGAAAACATATACAAACATACATATGTATAATACATATACATAAATACTTATGCTTCATATAATATTCATATTTACAAGTGACTTAGTTCTAAAAATCAGCCTACGACTGTAGTTGGTTGAATTTGTAGACATTTTTTAAGCATGAAATCATTTTGATATAAACTAATAAATAGAAATATATAGTATATACATATGAATGTATATACGTATGCATATGTGCCTGTGTATGTATTTTAAAATTGCTGCTTAATATCTTTGATCATCACTCTCCCTCGTTCTCTCTCTACCTTTGGACGAGCATAAGCTGCTACACAACATTTATCATTCGCAGTGATGTCATGAAGTGTAGTATATTGCAAATGTATGTACATAGATATATATGTTCATATTTCAATTAGTACTCTCACTCTCACCAAAACTATATATTGAGCAGAGTGCATCCGTGCTCTGAGTATTTACGAAAAAAGTAACACTTCAATTGAAAAAAAATGTGCGATGTTGCGGCTTTTCATCATTCCATTTTTCCATCGAATAAAAGAGGTTTTGACGATGCTCAAATAACTTTCGGTAGGTTAGTAAGATATGGTAGATTGAATTTGTTACCTGATATCTCTTATAGAGTAAAAGGAAATCAATAAATAAAGTGACTCGTTGAACTTAAAGAAAATATTTATTTTCTTCGTTAGCAATTCAATTATTTTTAGGTTAGACTCGACAATTCTCTACATTTCCCTTTTACATTTTTTTAAATAATACAGTGGCATAGCGACGGCAAAAAGCCGAGTGGTTAGCACTGCCTATTGCCATTCGGAAGGCCCGGGTTCAAATCCCCGTGCGACTTACACTCAACAGTTATAGAAAATTAATTTAAACATAAAATTAAATTCTTATTGCGGTCGCCCTCCGGCAAAGAATGTCCACCCCTCCGAGTGTAATTCGGACATGAAATAAACGCTCCTCGTAAAAAAACCATCAGCCGAACGGAGGCGGCTTAGTATAAACTGTAGGCTCCATTTGTTGGAAAAAACATCAAGATGCAAAACCACAAATTGGTGGAGAAGTGGGGCTGACAGTCGCTTCAGCGGTTATAAAGCCCAATTATATATATATAGTATATATATAGACTAACAAGTTTTGAAAAATTTATGACCCAAAAATCTCTAATTCATATATATTGTACATATGTACTTTATGCTTAGTGGCTCGATCTGCCTGAAAACTGATTTTTTGAATCTACTAAATTTAGTTGAAATATCTTAAAGACTGCGAGACTAGTTCGCGTGCAAACAGATGGACAGACGAACATTACTCGGCTCGTCCGTCGTTATTGTGGTCATATTGGTATACATTTTTACAGGTCTATCTATTCTCCTTCTGGTACTTTTTCGTATACATTAAAGGTATAATTAAGTTATTTTCGTACTGCACTCGCACCTCGACAAGGAATGCCAAGCCCTCTGAGTGCATTTCCAACATGAAAATCAAATGCTCCTTCATTTGTTGGAAAAAAACATTCAGACGCATACCACAAATTGGAGGAGTGACAACCAGTGGCCGCTAGCTTCTTCACTTATAAAAGAGGTTCTTATGCCAACATTAGGTATCAACAGACGTCCCTTCCATAGAAAAGAAAAAATCAGGCATTTAGAGACCGTGGGAACTACTTTCTTCCTTGGAAGCTCACAGTGAAGTACCTATCCCCGCACTTATTAACAACTGGAGAGAACCTATTCTTCCTTTCGGAAAGTAGTAGCGAGTATTCACTCCTCTACCTAGGCTTAGCCACCGAGTGCCACAAAATTTTTTTTTTTTGTAAAGGACGCCGACATAAACTTACCTCAGCGACAAACCGAAGTTCGTCATAAATAGTATTCTAGCACGGATTTCGTTCCGAGTGGATTAAGATAAGACTCCAAATAAGAGTCAGTAAAAAATAAAATCGTAAAAAAAATCGAAACTGAAATTGACAAGGCTTCCGACGGCACAAAAAAAACACGAAAAAGGAGGAAAGGATGATTGCCTTAATTGAGCCCAACAAAGGTTCAAAAAATCGGTAAATATAGACAAACTGGGAAAAAATTGTGGCACTGTTTTGAGCTTAATGCCTGAAAAAAACAAGGGGAATTTAGGCTAGCCCAGCTGGCAGTTGAGCCATACAAAATTCATCCGATCCATTGAAGAACTTGCCGCAAAACAAAATTGGGTTTGGCTTGAAAGTTAAGCAACAAAGCGCCAAGCATTCGCATCTCAGCACCAAGTTGCGACACTTTCACTCACTCCTAAAAGATATTTAAATTATATAGAATCACAAACCAACCATTTCGAGCTGGAGTATGTTACGCCTATTGGCTGAGGAAGCAAGTGCGAACTAAAATTCGATGAATTGAAAGAACATCTTGGAATGTTCTTAATACGCGTACGAAAGCATTTACACATACCAAAAGTTAGCCACCCGAAATCAATGTCTTGAGCTGTTTCTCGACTGAGCACTGTGCAGCTTTCAGAACAAACAACAAATGCTGACCAAAATGAGAGACAATCAAGCGTAACTTTTGTCAAGATCGCCAGATCTACAAAAGAAAATATCCGCAATGAGCCTCAGTTGTACATAAAAGAGTGAGAATTTAAGACATTTAAACTAATTAGCAGAGACTAAGCAGTATTGCAGATAGATGAGATAATACATTATGTTCTATGAACTAAAGAAACATTTTAGTACAGTATGTTTCCTGGTTAGATCATCCTTACTAAGTACACCTATGTGATCGGAGATTATTGTTGCTGTGTGGCCAACATCGCAACCGCAAAAATACTTCGGGATCCTTGAAACCAAAGAAGACGGAAAATATTGTAAGTTATATCGTCACCACTCGGCAGAGAATGTGAAGCCCTCTAAGTGCATAGCGGATATTGAACGAAAGTTCCTCATAAACCCACCCAAAGGACATTCGGAAGCGTGAATAGATGTAGGACCCTTCAGATGGAGCAGGAGCTCGGCCGTTTACAATACAAAAAAATTTTATATGTACATATAAATAGATATATATATAGATATGGCAACCCTATTTTGAAGCATACACATTTGTACTTACCAAAGAAATTTTACGAATAAAAGCATGAAATGAGAGACAAAATGCTGGTGAAGTAAATGCGCTGTGGGACAATGCCCTAAATAATTTTAAGTATTGGCAAATGCACATCCATACACACAAATGCGTATAAAAATATGTATGTATATGCAAGTGTGAGCATATGAAAACTGTATGCAATCATGTACATCTATTATTTTTGTAGATATGTACGTACACAGGTATGTATCTACATAGTGCCACATATAAAGTAAATAAACACAGTTAGACTATACAAAAAAATCCAAACGATTAGAAATTCAAAGTCTGAAGTCTACATAAAAAGAGAAAAGAAAGTTGTTGGGTCAAATATAGATAAAGTTGTATGTACATATGTATTTACGTAGTAAGTGTATAAGTTAACCACACCATCAGACTTTGGCTAAAAAAAGCTGACGCAGCAGACTTCAACAGTAGTTGGTCAAACAAATAAAAATCATACATATACATACATACATGTGTTCATATATGTAATTCTTATATAAGTATGAACATATAAGTAAGAAATTTTTCGCTGCAAGAATATGGTACTAAATTGTCCATAGAAGTATTCCCATAGGTACTCCTTTGTAGTCAAGCATTGGATTAATTCGTGTTTTGCTACCACCCTGTTGTTAGCCGATGATTGTTCGGGCTTTAAAGATCGTAATCACTAATCGACAATGCATGTGCGCAACAAGAATTTTGTTTACATACGGCAAATAAACAGAAATCCGTTCAGTTTTCTTACGTTGGTGAGTTCTGCTCGTACACAGATGACATTTTGGTTTCGTTAACTAGAAAAATTTATTGAACGAAATGAAATCGTTTTGTCTCGGCGTCATGTTATCGAAACGAATCATGTTGAAACAGCATAAATTCATTGTTATCGTTGATTTTAAAATGGTTGCCTGCTATGATATTAACACAACACACCTCTATTATAGCGTTTAACATTATCTGTTAAGGATTAAACATTATCTGTTAACGCTTTAGCATTATCTGTTAGGGCTTTAGCATTGTCTGTTAACGCTTTAACGTTAACAACAGCTTTTAGTTTTCGATTAATTCGCAATTTATGGTTACGGTGCAGGCTTGATTTATATGTCTGTTAAAAATTATGTTAGTATGTTTGTAAGAATTTATGTTCAGATAAAAGCGAATTGTATTCAAAAATTTAGGTCCGAATGTCATTTTTTTGTATATACTCCATAACGTAACCCACTGTAGGTACTCCATGGAGTACTTATCGGATTAAATTCAAAACTAATTTCAATTATGTCCTCCACGGATTACTCGGATGTAATGCAGAGATGGAGTAAATGGTTCAGCCCAAGGACATTGCAATGTTAATTAGTTCATATTTTTTGTATGAAATGTGGTTAGTTTGGGATTACTCCATTGTCTGCGTGGAGTCGTCGCGCCTTGTTTGCAGGGATGTGGAGTAAATGTGAAACCTGTAGACGCCAATGAATGCGTAAACCACCCAGCACATGGCGACAACGAGTCCATCATGGCGAGTAAACAAACAAATATGCTAAAGCAATAAAAGGCAAGCATGTAATGGCATTTACATGTATGTATGTATTCATGTGTATACATACATTGTGAAGTGCGTGTGTAAATAATTTATAGTAATAACAGTAATAACGGCTAACAAGATTTTATTCAAGGTCGCCACTAAAGCACTGCAAATGAGGCAATAAATATTTTTGAAAGGCAACATTTAAGTGGAATTACTGTTTTGCAGTCCCTTTAACCTCTCTATTTAAAATTAAGTGATACAAAATGTCTCAAAACAACAGACAGCGCTTCTGGGAAATTTTTTATCAAAAGAGCGCGCAGTGTCAAGCA